GGGTTAAATATGTTTTTAGTCCCTAAACTATTGACCGTTTCTGGTTTTCGTCCCTCTTCCAAAGTAAGGTACAATTTAGTCCTCAATCTTTAAAAAACGTTCGTTTTAGTCGAAAAAACGAACGTTTTGAGGACTAAAACGAGGACTAAAAACAAAATTTTGAGGACTAAAACGAACGTTTTTCTAAAGAATGAGGACCAAATTGTACCTTACTTTGGAAGAGGGACGAAAACCAGAAACGGCCAATAGTTTAGGGACTAAAAACATATTTAACCCATAAAAAATAAATAAAAAATAAATAAAAAATTAATTAACAAATAAATAAAAATTCAAAAAAAATCACGAACTAACACGTGGTACCTCTTCTAACGGTGTTAGTACGGAACTAAAGGCAAAGACCTAATTTCTTTAATTTTTCGAAAATAAAGACCTAATTGAGAAAAAAAATAACTGAGAACTTATTTGAGACTTCTTAACAAAATTAGGGACCTCGAAAATGATTAAACCTAATCTTTTTTATATTATAATAGAACCCTCTAAAAGGTCTTAGATGAGAACTGGTAATGTAACCAAGAATGATATTAATACTCAATTCTAGTCAATATAACAAGTGTTACTAGGATTGACTAGTGTAACCAGAAGTGGTGCTAATACTCAATTCAAGTCAGCATAACAGGTGTTACCAAGATTTACTAGTGTAATCAGAAATTATATCAATACTTAGTTATAATCTTTTTTATATTATAGTAAAACCCTTTATAAGGTATTAGATGAGAACTGGTAATGTAACCAGGAATGATGCTAATACTCAGTTCTAGTCAATGTAACAGGTGTTATCAAGATTGACTAGTGTAACCAGTGTAACCAGAGTGGTACTAATACTCAATTCTAGTTAGCATAACAAGTGTTACCAAGATTAACTAGTGTAACCAGGAGTAATATTATTACTCAGTTATAATCTTTTTTATATTACAGTGGAACCCTCTAAAAAGTCTTACAGGAGAACTAGACGTAGCTCCATTGAGTGAACCAATATAAAATAATTGTTTATATTGTCTTAGATTTATAAAACACCTTATTTACAAACACGTCAATTGCTTACGAAGTTAACCATTATAAACGCTCTTGTCATCATAAGCTATTTTTCTCAAGAGGGTTCTTTCTTAAACGCTCCAATGGTTTTGTTAAATGCTTGGAAAACACTCTATCTCTAAATGTTTTGGTTTAAACAGTGCCTAATAAATCAAGTGTCTAATAATATGTGTAGACCATTTAGTCGTCACCAAGGTTGTTAAACGTCCTTCTGCAAAAAAGTTTTTCCATAACATTATTCAACTCCCTTCTAGTGTTTTCCTATAATTTCAAAGATTAACTCTAATGTTCAACAACTTAAGGAAAAAATGTAATTACCATTAATTGGACCGCAATTAAACAGTGATTAATCAAAGACTGACTCCGAAATCTATAAATACAAGTTTGAGGTAAGAAGATATGTAATTGCATTTATTGTATATTTAATATCAAAATTGTCAAACATTAACCTGACTTTGACATCAAAACATCTTTTATAGATGCCCTTCGAATAGTATTGGACAAACAACTACAACAGATTTAAAATAAAAGACAATGCTTGGACCTTTTGGACGGTTACCTAAACATTAAATATTAATCTCGACCTTATATCCCAAAACATATACCAATGTAAAATTTCAAATCTTCATGTTAGTACTCAAAGCTTTGCAGTTTCTTAGTAGTGTCCAACCGCTCTAGCATAAGGCAATGCTCATGGATCGAGGTCCTCCGCCTAATAGGGCGCTAAAGATAGGGTGCATGTGTCCAATACAAGAGAAAGCTCTCTAACAAGCTAAGGTTGTAACGAGGAGCTTGAGCTTTTAGAAACGCACCCATAGACCCTACTAGAAGGAGTGGAATAACATCAATAAACATTTACCTTTCACATTTCTTAGGGACAACCATATATGGCTACAGAGTTTCTTTAGCTCAAAGAAGTAAAAGAAAGTGTGGAGGGAGTAACAATACCAAAGTGGGTGCATAGAATGTGGAAAGCTAAGACAAAAGCCCAACTGTTAAATGGAGCTGCGTCGAGACAATCCAAGACCAAGTTTGGAAAGCAGAGTGGCATATAAGAAGCTAAACTTGCCAGAAGATTTCAAGGAGTCATTAGCACACACTAGCTCATCTAACTCACACTGGTAGACAAGAGCTTGCTTATGAAGAAAACAGTTGATTTGGTGATTTGAAGTAAACCATGGAATTTTCCCTTCGAAGATCCAACGTGGCCCAAGGAAAGTTGGGGTCATGTAAAGTCACTATGGGATACCCTAGGATTTAAGGAACTCGGGGTTGACAATTCTAAAACCACAAAATAAGTCAGAAAACCATAAACCCAGAAACCAAAACAAACTAGAAGCCTAAAACAAACTACAAAGCACTCAAAAATTCCCAAGCCCCCACACAAAAAAGAAGACCACCCCTAACTAAGATCAAAGAAGAAGTTTGAACGCAGAGAATGGCTAACTTGCATAGTAACTTGGAAAGTAACACCTTTTTTCAGAAACCTAAAGTGTGGTTATGCATCACTTGCTTAGGAGAAGAATGAAGCAAGTATTGAATAAAGAAGATTAAATGCTACAAAGAGAAGAAGCTAGAGCCTCCAATATTAACAAGACTATTAGAATGAAAAGAAAGCCAAGATAGAGAATGCGTACCTGAGGGAAGAAGAAGACAAAGCACAGTGGATTTGGGGACTATTGTGGAGGTAATAATGGATTTGACATTATGTTAATCTCTTTGGCAAGTGCACCAAATCGTTCAAGTAATAAATCGTGGTAAGACCAGGTATCGTTTTCCCAAGAGACTCGTAATACTAGAAAATTGTGCGATTAACAACTTATCTAGACTCAAGAACAACTCATCATTTAAGAATATGTGCAAAAAGATAAATTCACAAGTAATTACAAGGTTGGACTTTGGTATTGAAGGCACTTGGAAATGGAAAAGACTAGAAATGGTATGAAATGACATTGTTAAGGTTAGTTTTCACCAATGCACTCTTGTGTATAACCAATTTCATCTCCTCTCTATCAATTTACTAAAGTCAATCCACTAAAACACTCTAGCCCTAATCCCTTAGGTGAAAGAGCCTAGGTTTTCCTAATCAAACTCCAATCCCTTGGACAATCTAACAAGCAAACCCGCATTAAGAACTAGGATCTAAGACAACATGTGAATCATATCCCATCCCTGGCTCAATGACCCATAAGGACTCTTGTTTCAATTCAAGATTTCATATCCCATCCCTGGCTCAATGAAACCCCAAAATCAAATCATGAACGTCCCCATTACATGCAAGCTTTAAGATCGGAAACAAGAATACTAGTAATAGATAGAAAAGACATTTATAAATACGAAACAATCATTCATTACACAAGAGTTCATAGGCTACATCTAACCCTAACAAGATGAATCTTGTTCTCCATTTCCATGGAGAACCCTAAAGCTTACAAACATGGAAGATGAAAGAAGAAGGAGACCCAAAGGAAGAGGAGGAGATGTTCCCACAAGCTCCTCACGCCCTCCATGAGCTCCAGACGTGAAATCACGCCTCCAAAGAACCAAAGACCCTTTTTTCTTTCTGCCTCGTGAGTATATATATTGCCCGAATTCTCGCTTAAGCTAAATTATTCTCGCTTAAGCGAGAATAAACTTCTTGGAGAAGATAGTCATTCTCGCTTAAGCTAAATTATAATCGCTTAAGCGAAAATGACTTTTAAATCAATGACTTCCTGGATCACCAAGGCTCTTCAATGTAATGGAGGATCTTCCTAACATCGAAATAGATCAAAAAACAAGGGATTAGAGTATTATTTACGTAATGTAGCTCAAAATATAAATAAATACTAAAACTAAATAAAAGAGAGATTTAAGCAAGTAATAAGCTAAAGAAGAGTTGATTTTTCTACTAAAATGATGCTTAGATAATGGTAAGAATTAGCATTATCACACGTGTAGGATTGGAAATGTGAAGGATCACACTTGAGAGTTATTATCTTAAAGGTTTAATCATTCCGGAGGTCCCTATTTGTGCAGAATTGTCTCAAATAGATCCTTGTATTTTTTTTATCCCATTTAGGTTCCTTTTTTGTAAAATTGAGTCAATTTTGACCTTGTCGTTAAATTCAGTGGACGACGTTAAAATTCGTGTGTCTTGACTTGTTGACTGCACAATTTTAAATGACATAGTCTCATTAAGTGTAATTTAAAAATGAAAAAGAAAAAGATTAAAATGACCACGATTGACCAGCTTTGTCCAGATGAACGTAGTCGATGAGGGACTGCCACGTGGTAGCCCCCTTTCTCCCAAATTAGGGTTTTGCAGATGAGGCAAAGGAGCTTGCACCGCACTGCAAGCGAAGGATAAAGAAGGCGCTAGAAATTCCTCTCGTGGTGGCGCGTTGTATGTTGGTGCTTCTTACAGGTTCGATTTGGGATTTTACGAAAGCAGAAAGAAGCATTGGCTGATGGAAGATGAAGGCGTTGCAGTTTTTGTGATTTTGGGAATGATTTGCAAGTTTTGGATTGTTGGTGGTGGTGAGGCGCAAGAATGAAGATAGGTTGGTGGTTCTGGAATCGACAAACACGACGGTTAAGGTCTCTGTTTTCGCTTTTCGCGATTGTGGTTCCCTCTTTGCAGGTTGATGAAAGCATGAGGGAGATGGTGGTTTTGCCCTGGCTACTGGCGGCGTGCTTTTTTGATGGGTTTCTCTGTGTTTGATTTGCAGATGGTGATGGACGAAGCTTCGTGGTGGTGCGTCAATGGAGGAAGCGTCGCATTTTTGGGTTGGTTATGGAGGAGATCGCGACGCGATTTGGGGCTGGCTTCTGGTGGATGGTCGTGAGCGCGGGCGACACGATTTGGGCTTGTTGGA